AAGCAGATGTTATCCTCCAGCTGATTAGATCTTTGGATTTGTAATCCATGCTTAGCACAATGGCAAAGAAGAAATCTGATCTCTTTTTCTCCTGTGAATCACCTGTCAGTAACAGTGCCTTTCGCAGAGGACAAGTGCTTTAGAAGAAGCTCAGTGTGGAGAACTTGTTTAAGTTTCAATAGGTTGTTAAGAAAGTTGTCATGAAGGGTAGCAGTTCTCACGGTGGTTAATAGAGTAAATTTTCTTCTCTTTAACAGAGAATTGTAATCAGTGCAGCAGAGCTACACGTTAATGTTGAATCTACACAGGTTTGAAATGAAGGCCAGATGAATCAAACAAAAGTCCCAGTCGAATGTCAAGAGCCTTCATTTTGAACTTATAGGGACCTTACAGAAACAGCTTGGAAAGCGTGTTGGAAAAAAACCTTATGAAATGTCTTTTTCTGTCTGAATCACACATTTTAATGGAACAAAGTAATGCAAACGAGCTCAGATAGTAGGTACCACATGAGATTGTTTGAATATAGACTAATAACCTTGAACAAACAACACTGAAGACAGCTGAAGCCTTTTTAAAATGTATTAGAACTGTAAAGAAAGAAAATAAATGTCATATGCATTTATTTTCACTTTTATACAACTTTTTTTCTAAATTATATCTTATTTCCTTAAAAGTTAACTTGTGGAAAGAAAATATAATCATCTTTATACACACACATATATATATATATATATACACACACACACACAAAATGTGTGTATATTGAATACAGTCAGGAAAAGGCTGTGTGCAACCCTGCACACATGCATTTATTGTTAAGCTAGGGTGAGTGATATTCATGTCTGTCCTCTTTGAAGACTGTTTTAGCGCATCTGGTTGTGTGGATATTGCAGAGGTCATCATGGTGCTCTGGAGCAATTGAAAGTCTCTGATATGCTGACAAAAAAGAAAGCAGAGAGACGAGTGAGAAGGAGAAAGGGAGGTCCTTTGGCCACTTGTGGCCTTCACAATGCAGGCACAAATCATAGAGGGACATAGCAATTGGAGTGACAGATGAACAATGCTCCTATTTTCTAACCCCCTGTGAACAGGCCCATCCATCACAGCAGGGGAGATTAATTCAATTCATCAGCTTTTTGTCTCCTTGGGCCCCCTAATGCCACCTGATATTGCTCAAGGAGGATCTATAAATGTTTGTGGGTTTGATCTGTGCTCACTTGCTTGACACTGAATTAAAACATTACTCTTTACCCTTAGCAGTACACAAGCTTTGCCAACAGCCACTTTTCCCATAATTCTCTCCAAGATTAATTTGTATGTGGTTGAAAATGTTTGGGGGGCACTAGCAACTCCCCACAGTAGAGATTTGGTAACATGGAGTGGTTGGTTATAAAAGAAAATACTTGAGGTTTCACAATTACTCATGTGAAAGAACTGAAAGCACCTGCATCAACAGGGAATCGTTTCAACTGTGTTGTAAAGCAATACAAGGCTTTTGGCGAGTTAGTGTTAAACTTAAAAAAAAATAAAAATTTAAATAATGGTCCATCTGTTATGTTGGTTGACCAGGGAATACTTTAGTTTACATCTTTAAATGTACATTATGCAGCAATAAAAATCTACATATGCCATCAGCTGATGATAGGGATTCCTTTTGATTGAACTCTACAATTTAAAAGCCTAGCCATTATGCAACGTTATCCAAAGCCACACCAAGGTTCGCAAGATAACAAAGAACAGTGCCAGCATGCTCTGATGGGCTAGTTCAATGGTGAAGAAATTCTGTCCTTGAAAGCCACAGCATGAAGAAGAGTGATGACATCTAGTGGCCACCATGTTAACTGCCATAAAATATCAAATGCAGAAATAGATGCAGTTCTAAGATTTTTTTTTTGGGGGGGGGGGGGGGGGGAACATTAAGAGAAGACTGCTGGTTATTTTTTTTAAGACAAACATTCACTTCAATATTTGCCAAGAATCACCGAGCTGAAGAGAATTCGGAT